GTGTCGATGAAAGGTCTAAATTTGAAGTCTTTCACCGGTTTATGATGACGTCTCTATATGAGTGAAAAATTCTCGAACGGGACGTAAAACAACACACAATCAATCAATCAAATGTTAAGGGTATTTAATCTATGGATGAAGCAAAATAGGTTTCCATTTCCAGGCAAGTTATAACATACCTGGATTATGAAATGGATTCAATGAAGATGGAATGTAGATTTCCAAAAGGTTAAATTTTAAAGTGAATTGGAAGAATTCAGTTCGCTTTTGAATTGGTCGTTACAGATTTGAACATTATCAATTAATGATAAAAGAATTTTAAGGTTTCTGACAATTAATGCTTGATGTTAATTGATATTGATAATGTATTTATCAGGTTTGCAAGAGTTTTCTTTCTTGCTTTACTCGACCAAGCCTCAAGGATCTTCATATCGTTATATCGGGCCAGTTACATATAACTGTGTTGCAAAGAACCATTGAACTTATTTCGTAGGAAAATTGTGGATGCGTCACTCGGGTCTTTCTTTCAGGATGCTGGTTGCTTAACACTTACCGGAAATTGAAAACGGTTTTAATCCACCTCCACCCTCCCTCTGCCTTATACAGGTACAACCCTTTTTATTCTTGGCTTACGGATTCAGACCATAATAAATTTTGTGAAATTATGTACTCATTTACATTATTATATAATTAATGGGATTTATTGATAATTTTTATTCAAAGCATTTATATGGCAATTATTAATCTTATCTCTCTTAAGATAATTCTTTTACGAGATTTGGTTTTTGAAAACAGAAATCAAATGAATATCACATTTTAATCTTTTGAAAGAGTAACGTCCCAGAAAAGTAGGCTGGAAAGCACCATCCAGTCCCAGAGTACTTCCGTACACTTCATGTCCAGTACCACAGCAGATCTGTATCCAAACACCCCCCCCCCCATCTGAACGTGAACAATCACCAAAGCGGATCCTGAATTATATAATGTCCAGATACCACCGAGGTGGTAGTGGTGGACATGACGTTAGGCCTAGAAGGAAATATGTTCGTTTCTTCCAGTGAGCGTTGTACAAAAACAAAAATAAAAACAAACAAACATATTGCGATTCTTAAAACTTAAAATTTCTTACATTGAAAGAGAAAAGACCAATAAGTCACTGATCCTACAATATTCATAACAAGTATTCTGTGTGCAAAATGAAATTATTCTCCAGATCTGGTATAAATTGAAGAATATTTATCGCAAAAGATTTATAGATTAATCTGCACAACTTGGTTCTTGTATATATATATATATTCCAAGGCTGTGGAATGTAGCAAACTTAAGTTTGTGTTCGTAAAATCGTTATCTAATGACACACAAGCAGTTGAAGGGATTTTTAAAGAGATAAAATATTAAACATTAAAGTGTTTAGAAAAAGTTATCAGCAACTAGAACGTGAAATCTTTAAAAATACACCATTATTTTGCAGAATCTCATAAACTAAAAGCTTGGTGAAGCCCATGCTGTGTGTTTAAATATATTAGAAATAAAACACTTTAATTTAAAAAATAATTTTAAAGTACACCTTGAAGACTCGCCATAAAATCCGATAGCTTTTAATCGTTGGTTTTATGTTATGTATACGGAGATAATTCATAATTTACAATTTAGATTCCACAAAAATTAAAGAAAATATAATTTCCTCAGTTTAATGAACCAGCACTTGACATACAACATGGTAATGGAAATCTATCTCAGTGCGCTTACAAAGTTTAAACACACAAGACAAAATTATACAGTAACAATTGCTGTTTTGGGCTTCATTATAAAAAGTATATCAAAAGAAAGACATGTTTTGCTGTTTTTATGCCAGCACAGTGAATCTCGTGGCTGCAAAACAAGAAACAATCACTTTATAAAACAACAAACAAACACTCACAATCTACATTATTATACAAAGTCCGCACTGTATGACCGCAGTACTCAAACTGAACCCGCAGGAAGCAGGCATATAGTAAATGTTAATTTCAACCCCCACAACCACTACCGGGATTTAGTCTAACATAGCAATAGCCCTTATCTCTGAGGTGGTAAGAAATAAGGATAAAATCCTAGCACTAACTGTTCAGAGGTTGTGGCCAAGGTTAAAATTTTTCAAAAGTTGGTCAGATTCTAGGGTCAAGGACACGAGGTCAAAAATAATGATGCTCAAAGACAGAGATCTTTTAAGGAATACACATGTGACATATGAAGGTCCCAGCACCAACCATTTGGAAGTTATGGTAGCGAGGTAAAAAATGTTGGTGCCTAAAGAAAGTTCTTATCTCAAGAAACACATATTTGAAATTTGAAAGTCCTAGCATCAATTGTTCAGAAGTTATGGTAATGGTGAAAGTTGGTAAAAGTTTTACAAAAATAGATCAAACTCATAGGTCAAGGTCACCAGGTCTAAAATGTTGGTGCCTTAAGAAAGTTCTTATCACAAGAAATACATATTTGAAATGTGAAAGTCCTAGCATCAACCATTCAAAAGTTGCTGACAAGGTTAAAGTTTTTGTGCGGACAAACAGATTAACAGCCAAAGAAGCAGACAGACGGACAGATTTAAAACTATAACATTTATACCCCCGAATCTTCCGATTAATTATGAAAACATGATATTTAATTAGAATTGTTGCTTCATTATATCAATTATGCAAGCGTTCTACAAAATGCGTGTTTACTAGGTTTATGAATTATATACTAGAGTCAATTGATATTACTGGGGGATTTGTATACATTTCTGTAAATAAGTACCCCTTTTTTCTTTTTGCTTAAATTGCAATTGGTTAAAATATTATATATGTATCATTCTTTATATCTTATTTTGCAAATTTGATTTATCAGGGAATCAGTTTGTTACCCTCATTGACAATAAAGCCATATATCCGAGGTTATGTTCACCAAAAAATCATAGGTTTTAGGACGAAAACTAACACAATCCCATACTTTGATACAATGAGCAAACTGTAAACAACTTTTTATTTGCGAGAACTTTATTTTCGCGTAATTACCCGAGACAATGAGCCCGCGAAAATTTCATTCTCGCGTATATTAGAATTTCTTAAGATTATATAGAGCAATAACCACAATTCGTGAAAATTTTCTCTCTTTAATAATGAGTTAATGACTATCTCGCGAAAATAAGGTGTCGCGAAAATTTAGTGATCTACAGTAGTTGTTTTCTTGTGTAATACAATGCAATTGGTCAATTTATAACACCAATGGCATGCAAGGATTTATGATTTAATAAACTAACGAAACGTACATAATCATATGTAAATTAAAAAAATACATGTTCACAATATAAACAAACATTTTATAAAGCAAAAAGCTTACATATTTACATTAGCTTTTATTAAACACTAAAAGGCTTTCATTAGTTATAAGTATGGGAATTAATGAAAAAATGCATAACCTGTGTTAGCGGGTTATGTATTTTTTCTGCAACAGCTGCAACGTTAATGCCCATACTAACAAAGAAAGACATTTTATCGATTATATTTATATCTGTACAAATAAAGTAGGATTAAATAGATTAAATATTGTCTTACTTGATATGAACATCATTTTACGTTTCATTGATGGAAGAGCCACTGTTTAAGAAATCTGTACATGTTTAGCGGTGTTTATTGACTGATAAACAGGACCTGTTTATAAGTATATTCATTGACGTCAAAATAAATTTACATATTAAATGAGGTACCGGCGTGACTTACACACTGACCAATACTCTAAATTATGGGTTACTATACAAGAATACGTCTAAAATTTTATGCCAGTGTTTCTACTAGTTTTAGGAAATACATCATAATTTTTTCCTGCATTTCACAGATTAAATTCAATATGTACATTATTGTCTACTGTTTTCATGCTCTCATTTACAAACAATTGGTTTATAAACGTAGAATTCTAGTTTTCTCCATTCTATTATCTAAGGCGACTTGTGGGCGATTGTCTGTATTCCCGTTTTGTAGCTTCAGTGAATACAAATTTCCCGTGGAATCCCTGGACCAAGATTACAGTCACTAAGATGCCCACACGTATTATCATGTGTTGGCCATTTCAAGTTATAAATGCTAGTATTTTGATGGTTTTGTAAAGGAATTTCAGTGTATTAACTCAGGAAAACAATTTCGTTTCTTCATGTGAGCATTCAACATCTTTAGTAGTACCTGATCATTGTATTTTTTAGAAAAGCAATGAAAATGAGTTCCAATTGTATTTCCCTCATTTCATTAACATAACCTCATAAATAGACCCGAACCACGTGTTTGCAGTAAAATGTAAACATGTAGTAGATCATCATGCTTTGCTATTGGACAATTGTTCACGGCAAGCTCGCTGTGTTCCATAATAACAATTGCCATATAAGGTATATGTACAAGCAGCATAATACTTGGATTTTGATTATTAATGAGAAAAATACCAATTGTTGAACTTAGTCATTTTTGTGCAAAAATTGCTTATATTAGTGTACATGTACATTGTTTGTCCGTATTAATCCTCTTTCAGTTTTAAAGATGGGAAGTTTTTATTTTGCAGATCAATTGTACATATATGAGAAATGTGCATGGTACAATGTACCTGGAATTTCATTTTTGATCATTTACGGGGAAAATAACACTTTCTGAATTTAGTATTTTTTATGCAAAATATTTTCATCGGATACATTAATATTGTCGGGATGTCACCTCCTACAGTTTTCAGATTAAAAAGAATTTTATGTTTTATGTCAGAAATATAAGTACTGTTCATACAAAAGAAAAACCCTGTTTGTTGTTCCTTGTTTATAATACAACTGCTTTATTTTCAAAATCAAAAAGTTCTATATAACTTGGCCTCACTACAAAACATTTAAGCTCCAGGAATGTAAATAACAGGGCTACAAAAGTCGGAAGGAGGTTTGGGTTTGATCATACCTCCTTATCATAAACTGCAAAATAGAATATAGCGTCTCTGTTCCTATCCATCCCCTGTGGTTTTGGAATCTTCGATCCTTTTAATTGCTTAGGAGTATAAAACAGTAAAGCATTTCTTGGTACGGATAATCATCAATTCATTATGAAGCTCAACACAACTGTATTTTTCTTGTGTGTTTTACACTGTATGTGCGCACTTTCAACAACCGATAAGATGAAACAGAATGATGAGATAGCCGACATAAAAAACAGACTAGGACACCTTGAACAGGTGATTGGACAACTGGTCACCGGTAATTCATCTTTGGATGTTCTAAAATTTCTTGGTAAGATTTTTATCAATTTTTATGCCCTCGTAATCGGAGTTTTTGTCCTGTCCGTCCGTCTGTCCGAAAAAACTTAAGCCTTGGGCATAACTTTTGATTGATTAAAGCTAAGACTTTCATATTTCACGAGTATATTCCTTGTGACATGACTTTTCTTTAGGTACCAGCATATTTGACCTTGGACTTTGATCAATTTTTGCAAAATTTTACCGAAGCTTTACCTTAATCATAACTCTTGAATGGTTGGTAAGATGGTTTTCATACTTTAGATGTGTATTCCATGTGACAGGATCTTCTCTTGGGTACCAACAATTTTGACCTTGGAGTTTGACCTACTTTTGAAAAAAATTAACCTTATTAATTTTGAATGATTTGAGCTATGTCTTTTATATTTCACAGGTGTATTACTTGTGACAAAACTTTCCTATGGTACCACTAATTTTGACCTTTTGACCTTTCTTTGGGTACCAACTTTTTTTTATCATGACCTTACCTTGACCTTGGAGTTGATTTGTATTGAGAAACTTTAACCTTCGCCATGAGCTGCCATACGGGGGCATTAGTGTTTTACAAACACATCTTGTTTTTTTTAAAGGGGGGTCACATATATGTTGAATATGTCATACACATCTACTCATATTTTAACTTATATTTATACAGAGTACATAATTATAATGTCAACTAATGCTAAGGTTTGGATGATTTCATAACGATTTTTTTTTTATTTTTGAAGGAAAAAAATCTTTACTTATGAAAATATTTACATTTGTACCTCTTACTGTAATTTTTTTGAAGTTACATTACATTTTCATTACTTCGGTGCGTATATTTTCTTTCCTGTTAATTAACTACATATACATAAATGTCAAAATTTAATCGATCCTATTTGTGCCAAATCTTAATTTTTTTTTCAGCTTTTACATATTTTTGGGAACCAATACCACGAGTTTCACTAAACTTTCATGTAAATGACTAAAGAAATTGTCTAAATTTTTGAGGGAAGGAAATGATAACACCGATGCTGCTTCTTTTCATTCCTTCCCAGATCCCCCAAACAGTGGTAATGACCTTTCTCTTTACGTATTATTTATGACTTTACTTATCAGCTGTTAAAACTTTTAGAATTAGAAATAGATTTTAAAAAATCGAAATCAGTTAAAAGTGCTAATGTCAGATGATGATTTTATATTTAAGACCAATTTCTTGTTATACTGTACCTCCTGCGTGGTGTACTTGAATACAACACCCAAATGCAGAATAGTCTGTGGATCTTTCAAAACGAAAATGTTTCAGTTTATGAAAGATGTTGATGATAAAGTTAAACAAAGTAGTAAACTTATGGTCTATTGACTACTTCTTCAACTTAACAAATTTACAGCTAAAAGAATTGCAATTTTGATTCTTGTACAGCGTCCACAGGAAGAAACGAGCACGTTTCCTTCTCGGCCTACAAGAACCAAACCCAGTCTGGACTGAACCAGAGACACATCATCAAGTTTGAGAAGACGATACTGAACCTGGGAAATCACTACCACCCAGAGGACGGGATATTTATCGCCCCGGTGTCAGGTGTATACCTCTTCCACTGGACCATGATTAACTATGGAGATTATGCACATACAAACATTTTGGTAGGAGGTAAAGTTATGTCTACCACTACCACCTCGGTGGTATCTGGACATTATAATTCCGGATCCGCTTTGGTGATTGTTCATGTTCAGAAGGGGGAGCATGTTTGGATACAGATCTGCTGTGGTTCTGGACATGAAGTGTACGGAACTACCCTGGGACTGGACAACAATTTCCAGTCTACTTTTTCGGGGACGTTACTCTTTCCAGTTTCAGAAAATTAAAGATGTGTGTGAAACACATACACACACGCGATTTCTTTAACAAATTGACATACCTTATTAAAGACTAGTGTAGAAACTGAGCGAAAGAAATACTCATTTTATCATGTTAAATATAATTTTTGAATACTATTCGTACTGTTAATTTTAATTTGTTTCTAGCATAGTTAGACATTTTATGAGGCAATATAATTCGGCAGAAAAGATGAACAACTCATGAAAATATATATTTTATAAGTGACGAACCTGTTATGTCACAAGAAATTATATATTTCGTGCAAATTATATGAAACAGAAACGCTGAAAGTTCAAATAGTTTCAGCATTGGCACAATGATTGTGCAATGTCACATATTTTGTGATTTTGGCTTGGAATTTACTTTGTACCCTAAAATGGTAAATAAAAATAGACTTGAAAAGGAGACCAGGAAAAAACCCCAATGAAAATATGTTTTATACATGACTGTACACAGACCTCCGCCTCGTATCCAGAAATTGTAGCTGAAATACAACATCTGAAATACTAGTATATAAAACTTCAGATGCCTGCATTAATTGAATTATTCCTCTCTTCAATTAAAGATATCATTATTTCAATTAAAGTGTTCAGCAATTCTTTCAGGGGAAGCAACTATTTTGTGTGATATAGATCTTCAATAATATCAATAATTTAAATAATGATCTCTTTAACTGAATTATTACTCTAACAGAACTTATGCGCACACTAATTCCTCTTACAGATAATCAGGTGCTCCTCTGTAAAAAGGAAATAAACCTTGGCCAGGTCAGGTTTTTTCCCATCTAGCTAAAATTGCATTTTCCTTCTGATTGATACAGATCATGAACGACATTCAGGAGAGAAGCAGCTGTTCTTTCTCTAGTTAGTACATGTTTCACCTAAGGCACCCGACGAATGGATGGTGTAACCCCCTCCCCCCCCCCCCCCCCCATACCACAGGTAAGAAACAAAACCTTGTAAACACAGAGGGTGCCCCGCTTCGAGGGAGATTTTCCTTAATTAAAACAGAAATTTAAGGAAGGTTTTTATGCTGCGTCATACGGAAACCGGTAGGTACCAGGGGCCCGTTTCACAAAACTATCTTATGACTAAGATATGTCTTAAGACCGAAAATTATCGTAAGATTACACCATAGGTGTTTCACAAGACTGTCATATCTTACGAAAATTTTAAGATCTATCTTAATCTTAAGACAACTTGATACCTGTCTTAAGTCTAAAGTGAACAATGCGACGGTATATTTTTGGATAAAAACTGAAGGATTTTTTTTAAGATAACAGTTTTTAGAGATAAACAATTAATCCTTTGCACTAGATCAAGCCAATCGGAACAATGACCCCCCCCCCCCCTCTCCGGGTACATGTAACAATTTTGCCAGTAAATACAATATGATAGAAAACATAAAATGTAGCTACTTCATGGTTGTGCCCCATTATTCTTTTCGACGAATTTTTGTTTGGTTGTGTCCCCAACTGAAGTTATCCCCCTCCCCCAGAAATTGCTTTTTATGAACATGTTATCAAGATCCAGATATTATTTACATATTTAATCAAAATTATTTAATTTTGAATTTAATTCCCCGCAGGAACAGCGTTTTATTTATGACGAATCAATGTTAACTTATGCAATTTTGAAAATGGCTATCTAACGCAATTCGAGATAAACGTAGATGATTTATTGATATGGTAAGTAAATACATTTTAGATAAATAAAATACGAAATATTTGAATTTTTTATGGTTTGGACTAGTCTCTTCCATAGAAGTAAAAAATCGAACTTTGGTGTAGCCACACTGCATTTTTAAGACGTTTTTTTATTAAAGTATTTTATTACATTGTGGTGATTTTTTTTTCTTGAAGCTAAACATGTCTTTCAGTCTTACAAAATTAAACACTGCTGTAATATTTGATGCTAAATGTTTTCTTCGTATAATTTGAAACTGTTAAATTCTGCTTTAGTTTCTCTACTTCGTATGTTACCACTGTTATTTCGTTGCGGTAGTTCAACGTTTCAGAGATACCTTCATAGATTTTTACCCCGGGGATTTTGAACATGATTTTGTGTTTCAACTGAATTTAGTGGAAAATCATTCATTATTTGCAAAGGCACAAATGCAGTAGTGGATTTAATTTTAAGTAGTATCACATACATTTTGTTAGCAACTACTATTTTCTGAGCAAGAAGACATTTACGCAAATTTTATTCAATAAATTTGTTGAATTGAAATTTATTCAAATTAAGTTATTCTGACCCCCCCCCCCCAACCAAGTACAATGAAGTTGATGCAATAAAACGTTTGTTGTTTTTTTCTCGAGAGTATAACTGCAAAAGAAATATATGAGACACACCATTACTTCAATATTTAAAAGGAAATTAAAGAAAGACCACTAAACTTTGAGCAGACATTTATATATATATATATATATATATATATATATATATATATATATATATATATATATATATATATATATATATATATATATATATATATATATATATATAAATTTCCCTGTAATATTGAAGCAAAAAAAAATTGCCTTAAGACTTGTCTCAAGTTCTCTTATATTTAAGATAGTTTTGTGAAACAGCCGTTTAAGACTTAGGATAGTTTTGTGAAACCCGGCCCAGGTAGAATTTTTGTTTTATCTGGCGGCCGCCACATATAAATAACTAGCGGCCGCCAGAAAATTATCTGGCGACTGCCATATAATTTTCTGGCGGCTGCCAAATAAATAGATCTGGCAGCCGCCAGTTAAGCTTCTGGCGGCCGCTAGAAACACATCTGGCCAGATAAAATATTTTTTCTACCTTGCACCTAGTCGCCCGGATGGCGCAGTGGTTAGCTGCTTTAGAGTCGCGGGGTAAGGAGCTGATCCTTACGTCGTGGGTCGAATCCCACTGTGGGACATGGAGACCGGTCCTTCGGATGAGACCGTATAAACCGAGGTCCCGTGTCGCAGTAAGTGCTGGCACGAAAGAGATCCCTCACTGCTCAATGGCCCTAACTGTCGAGTATAGGTCAAATTATGCAGCTCTCCACCGGCAAGCGGTGGCGTCTCCATATGAGTGAAAAATTCTAGAGAGGGACGTTAAACAACAAACAAAACCTACTACTGACTTTTGTAGTGTCACTAATACTTCAGTCTGAATTATATCCCATCAAATAGTGCAAAAAATAAAAGATACGCATCATCTTGTCTTCGATTCCAAGAGGTCACAGCAAGAAGTCAAATTTTGATTTATTACAAATTCAGTGTGTAAATTTTCCTGTTATAATTAAACTAGGACAATCCAAACATATACAGATTTTTTGGTCGCATTTTCTGTGGAATTCTTTACTTTTCGATCTGGATCAACATGATCATTTTACATCCAAAAACAAATCTTTACTAATGTCCACAAGACACCTAAGCTCTTGACTTAAATCCATTTAAAAAAGACATGACAATCTTCATACAGAGATTTTGAATATGCAACTGAACCTAATTATGTTTTGAAAACTACTCACTGTGGATCGTCAACTGACCTGTTGCAGTTAGGGTATAATTATCACATCTGAGTCTGTACAAAACGGCACCAGTTAGAATAAATCATGCATCATTATTTTGATTAGATAACAAGAAACACGCAAAGATTTGTAATTAAATAGGTAGAAACACAAGGAGTTTAATTTCTCCTGTGAAACATGTACTAAGTATGTTGTTAAACTTCCCTCACCATTCGATTTGGTCCCTCGCTTCGCTCGAAATCTCATGGTACTCTGGAAAAGTTTACCAACATATACTTTCAGAATATTAAGTGGAGGATGTTAGAGAGCAATGAAGACTTTGGCCAGGATGTCCCGTGTTTCACAGATTAGATGGAACGCACATTTATGCATGTCATCTTACTCCATTATTAAAGATAGTATAATATGTTACTGTGTTCATAGTTGTCTCTTTGTGCGATATGAAAAAAGATATATAACAAATATATTCTGGTTTTAGTCTCATTTTCATCCAAATACAAGAACCAGGAACAGAAGTGTATTCAAGATTTCAAAAGAATTGATTTCAATACTTATAAGTATGTATGTGATATGTGATTACTAGTAAACAGAGTTGACATTGAGTTAAAGTAAATCACTGCTTGAATTAACATTTTAAAAGTAAATTTTTATGCAATTAATTAAAATAAGAGGTCTATGGGCCACATCGCTCACAGGAGCATTTTTGTAGGAAAAAGCAGAAAAAAGTTCAGTATTGAAAAGTTTAAATATAAGCAGAAGGGGTTGGTGATGGGTGGGGGTGGGGGGGGACTTAGATCTACATTACCTGAGGATGCTTTCATATTTCTTTGACTAATCATAGCTTAAGTAGATTTTTCAAGAATTTTTCCTAAACATTTGATTTTCTATTGTGGCACTGCCCTATCCCCGGGGACACGATTTGTACAAACTTGATTCTTCACTACCTGGGGATGCTTTCATATAAATATGACCAATCATAACTTTGCCAATGTAAAACTTTGATCGAGCATTGTAGCCCCACCCTACCTTCAGAGGTCAAGATATGAACAAACTTGAATCTACACTACCCGAGGATTATTCTAACTAAATTTCATATTTTCTAGCCCAGTGTTTCTTGACAAAAAGATTTTTAAAAGATGCCATTAATTCTTCACTTATTTGTAATCATCTTCCCTTGGAAAAAAGTGTAGTCCTTCATTTGAATAAACTTGAATCACCTTTACCCAAGGATACATTGTGGCAAGTTTGGTTGAAATTGACCCAGTGGTTCTTGAGAAGAAGTCAAAAATGTGAGGTTTTCAGACAGACAAACGGATGGATGAAAGAGTGACAAAAAAAATGTGATCAGAAAACTCACTAGAGCCTTCGGCTCAGGTGAGCTAAGAGACAATTGTTATTTATAATTCACTGCATCATCAACTTTAGTCACATTTTTAAAACAATCTAAAATGGACAATCTTTAGATATAATAACCTTTAATTAATTTCTTTTTTCTACCCCTGCCATTACATGTACACCATTCCTCATCTAATTAATAACCTATAATTCATTTCTTTTGATCTCCCCCCCCCATTCTTACATGTACATGTACCTAATCAATAAC